GAGACGGACTGCAAGCACTGGATGTTCGAAGTCTAGTTGCTCAAGCTCCAGCTGGACACGTTGGTTCCCTTCATCTTGTTGTAGGAGTGAGCCGTAAATGGACAAGAAGGGAACTGTAAAAAGCAATTAAGACACAGTTTATATGCAACTCTTCGCTTAGGATGCCTATGCATGAGAAGTTCTGTCGTTTCGTGCTATTACAACTACCTCAGAATATGATAAAGTCAGTGCATCACACTTCTGTGCAAACTATGCAAATCTCAGCATAGCTTTCGTCCTTTTAACTTTTTTTTCGATTTATCAAAAACTCACACCCATCAGGTATGCATCGTTCGACAATATTTAGAAAGAGTACCATGTGTAGACAGGCTAATTCATATCATTTTATAATTTTTGGTTCACAGGTTGTAAGTGGAACCGTAAATGCAACATAAATGATTGACTGTACCATATAGCGAAATAATTACCTTCAGCAGCTTTTTTCAACGGTTCTACCAAATCAGTCACATCAGTCGCATGCGGTGCTCGATCGCGAATGAACGTTGCAATTGTTTGTAGAAGCGAAGATTCGCCAGCGATAGGTGACGAACATATCTAGAAAGATGATAGTGGGAAATAAAATTGGCTCTTGCATCTGAAAAGTACCTCCGCCAGTTGGCTTGTGCAAAATCCGCCGACCACTTTTTCGGACATAGTTGAGCCGTTCAGATGATTGAGTAGGGCAAGGATTGTTTGCACGATCAATCGCAACTGTTCTGAATCTTGGACCAGTTTTGCAGCATTCGAGTAGGCGTCCAAGTGCTAAAATGTTGAAACAAATTTTTAGTTATACCGAAATTTTATGGCATCCCCTTATTAGCATCCGAAATGAAGAAGTTGTATAGGGGTAGGTTCTATGTATAATTTAGCCTACCTCATTAATGGTGTTGATAGCATCGTCGAATCTTGCCGTATGCACCATCGCTGTTAACTTCTCTTCAGCCCGTTCAATATTAGCCAACTAAAATGTAGTTTTTTTT